GCCTTTTTCTTCTTGCTTTAGTACCTTTTACCCCTTTTTGCTTTCCTTCTTGTCTCTCCCCCCAAACTTAGACTTTGCCATTGCTCAAGGGAAGTGTGGGTGCCAAGAGAGGGTGAAACGGGTATAGGCTTGTAATATTGGTTCATGAAAGAAGAGGTTTAAGGCTCAAAAGGGTTAACTAGGGATCATTTTGTTGGTAGGCCATGGAATTGTTCATTTTACAATTGGATCAAGGAGAGCCTATAGTCACTTCTCAAGTCAACCTTCACCTATGATTTCGCCTCAACAAACACTCGGGGCAAGTTCTAGACCATTGGCTTGGGACTTGGACTCAAAATTTCTATTCCTCACCACACATGCTAGGGGATTGCTAAAGATATCGAGTCGAGGGCCCACAACGACCTTAGTTACGATTCAAGCGCACAATGGTCCAGAAAGACCACATGATGATTGTTTGGTCAACACAAGAGTCTCAAGGCCACGACTTTCACCATACCCTAAACACAACATTATGTCTTTGACCATGGAATCAAAGGCAAATGTGTTAGGCCCAAGTGAAGCTTTTCCTGAGGTACCCTTAACTACGAAATATCAAAAGACAAAAGAAAAATCAAAGAAACAGACTCAAACCCTTAAGAAGGTAGTCACTCCATCTATCATCGGGAAGAGCCACCCGGTTCACACTATACTCTACCCTTGGAAAGAACCGTGGCATTAAGAAAACCAAGGGCTTATTGAAAACGCCAAAAACAAAACAAAAGGCTACGAGCCTATCTACTAAGATAAAAACGAAAAATTTTGCGAAAATAAAAAAATCGAATGAATATGTACAATAGGGGAGTAGAATATACAATGAGGGATGAATATATACCAAAAGTACTTTATATACAGACCAAAAGAGAATAAAAAGTACGAGAAAAGTAGCTAAAATGTGAAGTTATATACAGACCAACTAGAAAATCAAAGCAACAAAACATAAAATAAGAATCCAATATGTACAGTCATCCAGATAATCGAAAAAGTAGGGCGCACCCCCACGAATAAGAGCTGGCATTGTCCCCAATGCCAACTACACAAATAAGCACAAAATAAGATCAAAGGATATAGAAGGGCTCCCTAAGCATGATCCGTCTGCATGGGCTCCTCAGTGGTCCCCTGGTCCTCTGTATGGGCGGGAACCTCAGACTGGTTCCAAGCTTGCTGCTGCTCTGCTGCTGGGACAGGGGCCGGGTCATGGACCGGCTGAATATCAGGTGCAACACTGGAGGGACCCTCCTGAACCTGTGCTATCTCGATCACTACACCCTCTGTGCTAGGAAGCTTCCTCTTCTTCCTTGGATGCCTAGGCTCCTCCTCCTGCTGTGGCTGAGATGCTGCTGGATTTAGGGCTGGATCCCCAAATAGCAAGTCTAAAGGCATCTGGTCTGCCAATAGCTTGTCCACGTCCGCTCTAAGCTTCTTCACCGACTCCCTAGACGCCCTTGACTTTCTCATCTTTTTGTGCTCCTTGGCAAGCTCCTTCAGAGCTTTGCCATGTGAATCTACCGCCTTAGTCAAGGTGGCCTGAGTCTCCAAAATCTTCTCCTGGTTGGCCAGGAACTTCTGCAATGTAGCCTCAATAGATGGAGGAATCTAAACAGAGACCGGTGCTGACTGGGCCTCAACTGAAGTAGCTAAGGTGGACAACTTGGATGTCGCAGCTGACATCCAGTTGTTCAAACTGGCTAATGACTGACTCAACTGGTGGGCTGTGAACGGATGAGTCTTTCATGATGGGACTGCTGGGCCAGCTGAAGTACTTGGGCCAGCAACAGAAGAAGGACCTGGGGGCAAGGTCTCACTGGTAGTAGTAACAGGAATGGTGGAAGGCCCTGTGGAAGGTTCTACCGCAACTGGCTCCTCAGATTGGCCAGTTGGGGCAGAGGTGGGTGGCTGGTACTTCTTTGACTTTGGGTTATCCGAACCCAACATGTTGTACCACGAGTAGGGAGCCACCGGTTTGGTCATGACATCAAATCGTTTCTTCTTGACCTGCAGATCCCTAAAGTACATAGATAGGGTGTTGGGGAAAGGGTAGTTTGTGGTCGTCTCCTGTCCTACAGCAGAAATCACCCTCGAGATCACATTACCCACATTAATCGGAAACCTGGCCATGATAGATGCCACAAGAACAGCCCGGGTAAGTGGAACGGTATGATCGTGAGTAGATGGGTCAAGCCGGCTGCAAACAAATGTCAACCACCCTCTAGCCTCAAAGTTGAAGGTGTTCTTGAGAATCTTCTCTCCGGCTTTCAACCATTTTGGGACAGTGCCTGGGACTGCCAAGAACTCAGCCAACCAGGGTCGCACTTCCTCACCCATTGCCAACTTAGCCAAATACAGCGACTCATCCTCCTCCTGGAACCCCAAGTACTCATTTAAGGACTTTCCATCAAACAACACCATTTTATCCCGCACCTTGGTCACTTTCGTATCTTTGACTATGTGAGCCACATTGCAGTAGAATTCTCGGACCATGTGCTCATTAGCATCAATGCATCTTTCCTTGAAAAATTCCCAGCCATGTCTGGTTCGGAACTCCCTTTGCACGTTCGGATTGTGGGGCAAAAGGTCCTTGTCAATGAAACTTCTTTCTGGAATCAATTTCCTCACTGGCCACCATTCCTTGAACTTGTGAAATGCCACCTCACTAACAAAACGATCTTCTCAAGCTTTAGGATTTCTAGTTCTATCAACTCCTCCAACCTGAGGCTCACCTCCCTCACCATGGCCTGCACTCTCCCCGGATAATGAAGCTGTGGGGGAGGTGGAGTATTGCTCACCACTACCTGCTGCGGACTCATCAGACGAATCCGAGACTACATTCACTGTTTTTTTTATTGAGGGTGATGGTGGAGGAGTATCAACTAGGCGGAGGGGGTCGGTTATGTGAGTTGGGACAGAATCTGAGGATATGCTTTTGGATGGCAAATATTCACTCCCAGAAGAATGAGAGGCAGCCCTATCAGCAGCTCGTATCAGTTTCCGGGTCTTTTTAATGTTTACCCGAGCTTGGGGAGTGAGTTTAGTTATTCTCTTGCCCTTACCCCCTCGGGAGGCACCACCTCTCCCGGGTTGTTGTACTTGTTTACCGCCTCTTTGTTTAACCATGATCTGCAAAAACACGCATCTAACATTGTTAGTTTAAGCACATGCAGTGGAATAGATGAATAACACAAGAGGAAGACACAGTTGATTGCATAACACAGAAGCAGGACACAGGAGCGCAGACCGCGCAAAATAGTCACGCGGTCGCGTTGGGGGCAACGCGGGCCTCGTAAAACTGGAGCGCGGCCGCGCTGGGCATATGCCTCCAATAACACCTCTGTGAATCTCCCAACGCGGACCGCGTAAAAATGTCATGCGACCGCGTTGGGCCAGCGCGGACCACGCAAAAGTGCGACGCGACCGCGCTGATGACAAGTTAAGCTCACAGAAGAGCCAACGCGGACCGCGCAGAAAGGGCACGCGGCCGCGTTGGGCCATGTTCATGAACTGAGTTAGGGTTTGACAATTTTGTCCATTTTTGTTCAAGTTTTTGGGTCCTAGTTGTCCCTACTCAATTATCCATATAGAAAGTCATGCTCAACAGTCAAAACTAACAAGAAAACTACCCTAATCATTAACCTAAGAAAAATGGGAAGAAAGAAGAAGTTACACTACTGGGAAACAATTAATTAATTAATGATACTTGTAAGAAATGTTACCAGGACTATGAAGAATCAAGCACTTGATGCAAACACACAAGATTAGTCTCAGAGATGAATAGTAGTAATAGGGCTCAGGATGTCAAAGTTCGAAAAGGGTAAAGTGAGGCCTTGGGTCTCTATTTATAGAAGACTGTGGGGCCCCGTACCTACCTACCAGCGCGGCCGCGCAAAAGTGGCCGCGGACCGCGCTGGGTTTGTGTCAAGTAGCATTGAACCAAGCTTCCCACGCGACCGCACAAAAATGTCACGCGGCCGCGTTGGAAACTTTAGAGAGTCATGCAATGTTGGTCCTGTCAGCGGACCGCGCAATAAAGCACCGCGGCCGCGCTGATAACTTCAGATACTTATCCACCTTTGCACATGCCAGCGCGGACCGAGTTGATATGTGACGCGGCCGCGTAGCAAACTTCAGAGACCTGTTATTTTGTACTTTTGTTTTGCACTGCTTCAACATTATCCCTGCAACATCTCACAAACAATTAGCTCAAGAATCCTAATCTACAAAGAAAAAAAAGAGAAAGAAAAAGACATGGGTTGCCTCCCAAGAAGCGCCTGATTTAACGTCGCGGCACGGCGCCTGTTACCATCATATCACTTCAAATGAATAAGTGCCACCACGTGGCTATCATCAATCTTTCCCAAATAGTGCTTGACACGATGTCCATTGACCCGGAATATTTCACCATTCTTGTTCTTGAGATCAAGAGCACCAAAAGGAGTCACACATACTACTTCAAAAGGGCCACTCCACTTAGACTTGAGCTTCCCGGGAAATAACCTCAACCGGGAGTTTAGAAAAAGAACCATATCATCAACCTTGAATTCCTTTCCCCGAGCATATTTGTCGTGAAGGTACTTCATCTTGTCCTTATACAAGGACGAGCTGGAGTAGGCATGAAATCTAAACTCATCAAGCTCATTTAATTGCTCAACCCGGAGATTTGCGGCAACATCCCATTCCAAGTTCAACTTTCTCAAAGCCCACATAGCCTTGTGTTCCAATTCCACCGGAAGATGACAAGCTTTTCCAAACACCAACCGATACGGAGGCATACCAATTGGGGTCTTGTAAGCCGTCCGATAAGCCCAAAGAGCATCATCCAATTTCTTCGACCAATCGGTCCTATTAGCATTTACCGTCTTGGACAAGATACTCTTTATTTCTCGGTTGGACACTTCCACTTGACCACTGGCTTGAGGATGATAGGGAGTGGTCACTTTGTGATTTACACCATACTTAGCAAGCAATGAATCAAAAGCCTTGTTGCAAAAGTGAGACCCCCCATCACTAATGATAGCACGAGGGGTACCAAACCTTGTGAAGATACTCTTTTTCAAGAATGCTACAACACTTCGGGCTTCATTGTTGGGTAAAGCCACGGCTTCCACCCACTTTGAGACATAATCCACCGCCACGAGAATATAAGTGTTACCACAAGAGCTCACGAACGGACCCATGAAATCGATGCCCCAAACATCAAAAATATCCACCTCGAGAATCGTATTGAGAGGCATCTCATCCCTTTTTGAAATTCCGCCGGCCCTTTGGCATGCATCACATCTCTTCACCAAATCACTAGCATCTTTAAACAACGTTGGCCAATAGAAACCGCAACTCAAAACCTTTGAAGCCGTCCTCACCCCTCCGTGATGGCCACCATAGGGAGAAGAGTGACAAGCCTCCAATATGCTCATTTGTTCACTTTCCGGTACACATCTTCTTATCACTCCATCCGTGCAAATTCTAAACAAATACGGATCATCCCAATAGAAATCCAAGCTATCCCGCTTGAGTTTCTTCCTTTGGTTGGAAGAGAGCTCACACGGGACATTACCAGTCACAATGAAGTTGGCGATGTCCGCGAACCATGGCATTTCACACATAGAAACGGAAAGAAGCTGCTCGTCAGGGAACCTATCATTAATCTCAATACCATCACTTGGTCTCCCATCTTCCTCTAATCGGGACAAATGGTCTGCAACTTGATTCTCGCTTCCCTTTCTATCCACAATCTCTAAATCAAATTCCTGAAGGAGTAGCACCCATCTCATCAATCTTGCTTTCGAATCCTTCTTAGTCATCAAATACCGAAGGGCTGCATGGTCCGTGTGTATGATCACCTTTGCCCCCATAAGGTAAGGTCTAAATTTCTCCATCGCGAACACAATAGCCAATAGCTCCTTTTCTGTCACTGTGTAGTTTCTCTGGGCCTCATTCATAGTCTTGCTAGCATAATACACAGGATGGAACATTTTGTTGATTCTTTGGCCTAGCACCGCCCCAACCGCTACATCACTCGCATCGCACATAAGTTCAAAAGGCAAATCCCAATTAGGTGCGGTGATTATAGGAGTTGTTGTCAACTTGTGTTTCAATAGCTCAAAAGACTCCATGCACTTCTCATCAAAAATAAACTTGACATCCTTCTCTAACAACTTGCAAAGCGGGTTCACAATTTTTGAAAAATCTTTAATGAATCGCCGGTAGAACCCGGCATGACCAAGAAAACTCCTCACCCCTTTGACAGAAGTAGGGGGAGGGAGCCTTGAGATAACCTCTATTTTTGCCTTATCAACTTCAATTCCTTGCCTTGAGATTTTGTGACCCAATACAATTCCCTCTTGCACCATAAAGTGACATTTCTCCCAGTTGAGCACAAGGTTGGTTTCTTCACATCTTGCCAAAACCCTATCCAAGTTCACCAAACATTCTTCAAATGAATCTCCCACCACACTGAAGTCGTCCATGAATACCTCCAAGATATCCTCCACCATGTCGGTGAAAATTGCCATCATACATCTTTGGAAGGTCGCTGGGGCATTACATAGTCCGAATGGCATTCTCGAGAAAGCGAACGTGCCATAAGGACATGTAAAGGTTGTCTTCTCCTGATCCTCCGGGGCAATGAGAATTTGATTATACCCCGAGTAGCCATCTAGAAAACAATAAAAGGCCCGGCCCGCAAGACGATCAAGCATTTGGTCCAAGAATGGTAGTGGGAAATGATCTTTTCTTGTCACCTTGTTCAGCTTTCTATAGTCCATACACACTCTCCAACCCGTAACTGTCCGAGTAGGAATCAACTCATTGTTGGCATTGGTCACTACCGTCATTCCACCCTTCTTTGGCACACATTGGACCGGAGAGGTCCATGAACTGTCCGAGATCGGGTAAACCACACCGGCGTCAAGCCACTTGATAACCTCTTTCTTTACTACTTCTTGCATCACCTCGTTGAGTCTCCTTTGATGTTCAAGAGATGGCCGTGCATCCTCCTCCAAGATGATCTTATGCATGCAAAATGCGGGGCTTATTCCCCTGATGTCCGCCAAAGTCCATCCTATTGCCCTTTTTCGCTTTTGAAGCACCTCCACAGTGGCCTCAACCTGCAAGTTAGTAAGGCAAGAAGAAAGAATAACTGGAAGAGTAGAATTAGAGCCCAAGAATTCATACCTGAGGTGTGGAGGAAGTGGTTTCAACTCCAACACCGGTGGCTCCTCAATTGATGGCTTGGTTGGCGGAGTTTTGCGATTTTCAAGATCCAAAGATAGTTTCCTAGGCTCATATGAATATGAACCCATTCCATGCAATGCATTCACGCACTCCACTCTACCGGCATCATCATTGGCATCCATGTTAAGAAGCACGGCTTCAAGAGGATCTTCAACATTAATCAAAGCACTTGTGTCATCCACTATCACCGCCGTGACAATGTCCACAAATGAACACACCTCCGTACTATTGGGTTGCCTCATTGACTTGCACACATGAAATACCACCTTCTCATCTCCCACACGGAATGTTAACTCCCCTGCTTCCACATCAACCAATGCCTTCCCCGTAGCTAGGAAAGGTCTTCCAAGAATAATAGGCACTTCGAAATCCACTTCGCAATCCAATATGACAAAGTCGGCCGGCAATATGAATTTGTCCACCCGGACAAGCACATCGTCAATTATACCCAAAGGCCTCTTCATCGACCGGTCCGCCATTTGAAGTCTCATTGAGGTTGGCCTAGGTTACCCAATTCCCAAAGTCTTGAAGACTGAGTACGTCATCAAATTAATGCTAGCCCCAAGTCACATAGGGCCTTAGCACACTCCGCACTCCCGATAGTGCAAGGAATAGTAAAAGCTCCAGGGTCTTCAAGTTTCGGGGCCATAGAATGCACAATCTCACTAACTTGGTGCGTCATCTTTATTGTTTCACACTCCATAGAACGCTTCTTGGTGACTAAATCCTTCATGAACTTTGCGTAACCAGGCATTTGTTCGAATGCCTCCACCAAAGGAACATTGATTGTGAGGCTTTTCATCATATCTATGAATTTCTTGAACTGATTGTCACTCTTTTGCTTTGCTAACCGCTGAGGATAAGGTGGAGGTGGTCTAGGCAAGGATGCCTTGGCTTTTGGCACCACCGGCTCCGGAATATCAATTATGTGTTCCCTAGACGGGTTCATGGCCTCTTGTGTTTCCACCTCGGCCTCATCAATACCTATTCTCACTTCCTTATTCACATTTGTCTCAACCACAACTTCATCAATCAAAGGATCCACAGCTTCTTGGAGCTCAATATCATCATTCACCACTTGATTTTCATTTGAGGCTTGCACATCACCGCTTCTTCCACTTCTAGTTGTAACTGCCATCACATGATTGTTACC